ATGTTTGACACACCGAAATTCGTATAAATTGTCCATTCGTGGAGTCTTTCTGTAATTACTAAGTAATAGAAAGAGCATCGAAACACGATGCTATCAAATTTGTACGAGGGGGAAAAATAAAAACAAAACATGTTGCCTCTTTTCACAATGTGAAACACAAGAAAAAATGTAACCACAAAATGAGCTGAATACGTTAGCCCTTTCTCTACCGTCACAATAAGTAAACCCCATAAAATAGCCAATTAATGGGTATGCTCTAAAGTGCCTAATACCTGCACTTAAAATAACGCACTGTGTATGTATAATTATGTATACAATTGAAGTCAGACATATCTTCAAAAAAGGTCTCAGAACTATGATTCAATATTTATTTATTAATTTATTTTTTTCTTTATTTATTTAATTACTTATTTATTTATTTATTTAGTCTCATGTACTCGTGTTCACAAATATTCAACACAAACATAAAAAGCATAGCAAACATGAACAATAACTCAATATAGAATTACAAAAAAAACTATGTTAACATGAAACAGTAAAAAAAATTGGGGGAATTCGCAACCAATGTTACATAAGTTTACTACATGCATATTTCTCTCCCTTTGTTACATAGGTCATAGTTACAATAGACTTGCAAAACAATGGTCATTAAAAAATTACAAAATAATATTTAGCATTACACTCTCAAAGAAGATTCAAAATTAAAAGTTGTTCCTGTATGTTGAATGTTGAGTATTGTCATTAAGAACTGTGATTCCATGTTTGTCGATGCATCGCGACATATGATACTTTACCGTGCAATATATCGTGGAATATAATGTACTCTCTTGTAACAAAATTAAGACCGTCAGATATGCAAGGTTCAATACCGTCACGGATGAAATTCTAACTACTGACATGATTATTAATGTATACCCTAAAGTGGTGTCTTGCATGTAGAAAATGTACCTTACTTAAGGGACACAGAGGGCTAACTTGATCTTATCAGTTCAATATATCGATAACTAAGCCCTTGCTTTTGTAATATAAGTTTTTATACACAAAGTGACCCACGGGCTAGGAACCAATTTTGACTTACAGGGCCATAATTTATAAAAGAGGACCACGCGATGATGTTACATGCAGAACATCTTAGCTCTGGGAAAAGTACTTTCAGAGATAAAGGTTTTAAGAAGACATTGTTGATATAAGTCTATGTACACTAAGTGACCACTAGGATATTGCCATCTTTTACCTCAGTGGCATGACATATATAAATACAAAGCTTATGTAGAGGTCTACTTGGCAATGCTGTATGTCAGATTTATCTAAGCTCTATGAATTGATTTTTCCAATATAATTAGTTATAAAGACTTTTTGACAGGTTTTATGGCCCTTTAAAAGTGATATGTCTTCATCAAATGACCTTTTTTGTAGAAGACCACAAGATTATGCTACAATCCAAAAAAGAAGATGCTGCGACCTAAATATAGATCAGACTGAAACTTGTTATATAACGTTTGTACAGGACCACCTATATATCACTCCTGTGAAGTTTGGTGGAAATCCATACAGTGGTTCTGGTGGTGATGTTGTTAAAAGTTTTTGTTGATACCAATTGGTCGACGGGCATTGGGCATCACAAACGCTCACTTCTTGGCACTTTGTGCTCGGGAGAGCTAAACAAATGACATACAAGACCCAAAAATCGGAAAATTTATTCATTGTATAATCTAGATTCTGAAACATATGTACTTGATTTGGGGCAAGTGCGTTGCATATAATAGCTGAAGATTTGAAGAATATCTATAACGTGGAGATTATCAATGGCAAAGTTATGTTTCGAGCTAAAGGACCAGGTCATAACTCATAAACGAGTGATAAATTGTATATGCTCAAAATGTTGTTTCGGCTCATAAATTGGGGGTGTAAAAGGAAATTTTTGATTTGGTCCTCAAATATATGATAAAAAATTAATTTTGCTTGGAAAATGTGTGTTTCGCTTTTTAACTTACAAGAATTTGTATTTAAATCGTTTCTTACAATGAAACCATCTGTGCTGCAGAATTCTTTAAAATGTATATTAAATTTTAATCAAGAATTATGATGTAACCATGGTAAATTTTAACTGAAGAGGAACATAAAAAAGGTTTATTTTTTCGGATTTGGTATTCTCGTGCCGTCACATTACGAACTAGTCTGCATAATATGTCCTTTTCATACATACATAGTCAAAGACAAAAAGAAAATAATGGCGAAGGAAACGTTCAGTTAACGAATTTATATCAAACGTTTTATATGCTTAAATTTAAAGCTAGAATGAAAACTAATTACTTAGTTAAACTGACGTTATATTCTACTAATTGATCAGAATTTTACTTGTTGTATCTACATAAAGTATATAAAGTATATTGCGCGAGTGTGCTACAGGTATTCCAAATGCGTTCACTTGCTTTCTATGATCCCGCATCTTCGTGCAATCCATTCGAGAATAACAACCAAGTGGAATAACACTGCAATTCTTTCATAAATGTTATTTGTATCGTTTATTTGAACTACTTGCTTTTTGTTATTAATGGAACCATTGTAACAAATGCTGCTGTACGATGGAGAAGGCCTATTGCTGATTGTTTTGCTGCCGAGTTTCAGTGTCCCAAAATATTAATAAAATATAAATACTCCGACATAATGACTCCATGGCAAACAGATGAAATGTTGGATTAAAAAAAGTTAAATAAAATTACACGCGTGTATCTGTGCAATTCGAAGCGCCATTGACACAAATTCAGGATATATTTGCTGCTCTTACAATACTACCAAATGTAGTTATTCAAATAATTACATAAAACATACGCGCTTGAATACAGATCGAGGTATATTTCAGTTGTGTTTTATTGGTAAACGTACATATATAATTTGACGTATACTTGAGTCATTATTGACTCATTATATTTCTGTTAATTTCATCTTTAAGAAATGTATAATTTTTAAGATAATTGTCTTAACTTAATGAATATTGTTTTGCTTATACGAATTCATTACATTGCACTTGCCTGCTAGAAATGTTACTTTTTCAGATTTTAATATGGGTTGTTTTATCAACTATATACATGTAAAAATTGAAAGAAAAAAGAATCCCTAAAGAAAGCCCAACGCGGCAAAATTGAAAATGTTGCAGACTCGGTTTGATTGAGCCTGTTCATGGACGGTACTGTCAAGTGCAAACTACCGTCCACGCCCCCTAGCACCGGCTTAAGCAGAATTCAACATTTAACATGAACTGGTAATATTTAGAATTTTCAAACATCCGCAGATGTGTTCAGTTGGCGGTTATCATGGAATGTTCAATGGGACACGTTAGTGCCATTCCATGAAAAGCGGCATATGGTCCCCAAGTAAAAAATGCGTGTCAGCCACTGCTTTCACCTTTTTCTTCTTCTACAAGTTCTATCCAAACTTTTCAACAATCATTTTACTTGAAACATACTAGCGTTTTTATAGTTTACATACATTTTCATCGAAGCCGACTCATTTTCACGGATTACAATTGTAATTTAGCAAACGGAAGTTACAGAAATTCGGTATTTGTATCTGTTATATTAAATGTTAATAAGAATGAACAACAAAACGCCTCCCATAGTTGTATTTTTGACATTGTTGTAAAAAACACTGCTGTCTTTAAGCTGTTTTTTTTTGCAGTTATTTGTTTAATGAAATGTTGTTTTTAGTTGGTCGGCTATTACCATATATCCATAGATCACGAGTGTGTCTAACACACTTTTACTTAGAATTTGGTTTGAAAAGATCATTAAATCAATCCATCATATCAGGCACTGTTTATACTTTATTACTATGCTATTTTTTCCAATCTACGGCCTTTTGTTTTAGAGAGTAGATATATGTAATCTAAGTTGATTCAGAATTTATGTGTGATTAGAAGCCGGTCACTTGTGGAGAAATTGGGTAATAATTGTTATCAGAAACCCGTTAAGACTCTTTTATAAGGTGGACTAGCCGCCGAAATATGACAAGCATGTGTTAAAATCGGCGTACAGTCAATCAAACAAGCACACAAATAAAGCATTGTATTTATATTGGATTTTAAATTTAATTTTCTAAATTTTGACTTGTACCACGTGTTTGCCTACTTGTATGGTATCTCCATCTGTTAACCCACCAACATATGATCCTGTATTGTGTTCGTACGTCATTTTAAAATAACATGTTATTATAAATATCTAAAATCGGTGATGCATACATATGAGTTAAGGTTAAGGAAATATAAATAAAACATTTAAAAAAATATTTTGCAGATTTTCTATCCAGTCGCTTTCTTAATATTTCTTAATATGAAATTGTAGTTTTTTAAGAAAAATATTTTTTTAAGTTCATTCTATAACACACTCACGCACACATGCACGCACGCGCGCGTGCACGTGCACACGCACACACACACCAACGCACGCACGCGCGCACATAGGTCAGGGAAATCGGAGCACACACACGCACGCACGCGCGCGCACACACACACGCACACACAGTCAGTTATGATCTCATTTAGTGAATATTATAAAGGGAAATTGAATTACATAATTTAGAGATAAGTATTGTTATATGTGGCGGCTTTTTTTATGAAGTCAACACAAATGAACACAGAAAGAACAGTGTTACCATAAATCTAATTTATATTTTTACACCACTATTACGACATTTGGACATAGATAAACAATTGCATATATGAAAATAAAGTATCATCAAATTATAACATTTATTTGATATTAATGAATTGCAAATTGCTAAGAACCGACCGCGCTCTTTTAAACAAATAAACGTGACACCCCTAGTTGCAGACAGGAAATTGAAATATCATCAAGATATGAACATTATTAGACGCACCCAATTATTTTCATTAACATATATTTGATTATTTAATACAGGAAGCGCATCTTATCTATATTAATGAATTATAAATTGCTAGGAAATGCCAAATTCAAAGAGAAATGACATTTACATATTGTTATTGCGAGTCATATTTATTTCTCACTTGGACTTGATCGAGCGGCGCAACAAGTTACTCCGCAGATTGATTCGACTTTTTGGTGAAGACTTCCGTTTAACGTACTATGCCGGATTGAGTGTGAAATTTAACAATCATATCAAGCCATCATGGCTTTGAAGTGGTTTTTCATTTTTATTTTTATCAGCTATTTGAATACAGGTAAGTCGTTTATTATATTAATTAGATTGGATAGTTTAGGTTTAGCTTGTCATAATTTGTAACTTGTTTGGTAGACAAATGTCAGAAAAGGAGGACGAACGCGGAACGTTTGCCTAAACTGCCTTTTTTCTACGATGTTTCTTGATTTGATTTATATTTTATGTCCGCGTGCTTCCTTGACTGACATCTGTCTTACATTGAGACTTTCTGCATTCGTTTTCCAAACTTCTTATTGTTTATCATTATGTTTCATTGAACTATTTTAAACCCAAAACTATTTATAACATGTATTTTCGATAATCATACAATTCAATAGATTCTGATTCTGTACTTTCGATTTACCCCTTATCCTAGGCCTGGCGGAATCCTGGCATGAACTTTATATCTGCTAATTAAATGCTATAACAACTCCAACTTAGAAATTTTTAAAGTTTATTAAAACACCGTATAAAGATATAAACGTGCACGCAAAGTAATAAAAAAAAATCAAACAAATCAGACGGCTTTATTTAACAAATTAACATGATAGTTAAATATAAGATATGTCATGTCCGCGTACTGCAATCTTTTAAACACTATTTTATTGCAAATGCCTGGCAATAATAAACAATTTTTCTAAAAGCGTAACACCTATTGATATACCAAGTATGATAAGATCGGTACTGGGGTATAGGAGAATCTCATGTAGATTTTTCATCACCTTGGAGTGAAACTTTGCTTAATCTTTATTATCTCTTTAACTTAGTTCCAAACTGTACCTAAAACAATACTTCACTGAAAAAAATTAACATTCACAAAGGAAGTACTAGTATGTGTTCTAAAACTTAACAGACTTTTAATGATTGTCAATCAAAAATTTTCGATACATTTTCCGGATATTTTATTGTCGATATATAAGCTAGAAATTAATAATAAGAATATAGAAAAGTAAATGAGCATTAGCTGATTTTATTTTTAACAAATTAACATACCACAAACAAACACCGAAGGTACTGTTTGGCAATATAGACCTGAGACTGATTTATTGTCGAAGTTTTTTACGTTAGTCTCTGTGTTAGTTTTCTGTAATTTATTACGATCAACCAATTGATTTTGATAATATAGTTTCCGATAATAAATTCACAATGACGGCGTGATGTCCTAGTAAGTATTATTATAGCATAAAAGTCGCGCAGTTGCAAGTTCAAATCCTTGACAAACTTTTTTTCTTCAGATTTATTTAAAAAGAAATATTTTATGCAACATTGGCGATGAATCATTTGTTTAATTTCTGCTTTTCCCAAATATATATAATTTTTAACGTCAAGCTATAAAAATATAATAAATAAAGCAATATTGAAAATAATGTTTCCTACAATCTTAAACCTCTAAGTGAAAATCTTAAATGCTTGTCACTGAGGCTAGTTAGGCAAATGCTATGACAGTACCTTAAAGTAAAATGTGTTGAAGCGTTAAAGTAAGAAGGTCACTGCCTTAATATACATGTGTAAACGGATTGTACATCATCATTACGTTCAAGGGTGCTATATGTATTTTAACAGCAGATTTTATTACTAATTAGGGTCTTTTTTCCGTAAACTCAATTCAATCAGTATTATGCAGACGCTTGAATCTTCCTTTCCTCTACACTGATTAAGAGTTATCTATTTAAAGCGTCTGCATAACCCCGAGTAAATAACACATTATTTTCTGCAAATTGTCTCAATGCATTTGGTGTTATAACTGAAGAGTTTTATAACAGGGAGACTAAGGAATCAGGACCCTTATAAATAAAAAGGATTAAGTGACCTACATATCTAGTACCAAACCTTATCATAATCCATATCAAATCAGTGTAATAACATTAACAAAAGCTAATTATTACAGGTACTAATAACTTTTTCTTCATTTTTGCCCTCTACTTTTTAAGTATATAACTCTATGTATTCTAAATAAAACAAGAGCTGTAGTGTTTTCTGCAGCACGTGTTTTTTGTATTTATATCTTATGATAAAAGTTAGAAATGCCCCGAGACACCCATAGGAATAATTCTAAGTCAAGTCTAAAAATTGTTTTTCTTATTTTCTTATTCAGTTTTATAACAGTTTTGCACTTACGACTAAAATCGGTCCTGAAATTTTTTATGACACGCACCCCAAAACTTAAGTCAGATTGCCATAACCATAGTCAATCCAAAAATCAAGCGTAACAGTAGAATATATTACAACGTTATTAGACCCCCGAATAAATAGAACAGCAGATTTTCAATTTATAAAGGATAATAATTATACTGATAAAATATAAACAGTCGATCAAATAAAATTGTACAGGATAAAAATCATCAGCAAGTAAAAAACAAAAATAACAACAGTTGATAGTTGGCAAACCATACACTAAATAACTATTGGAACGCGCTATATAACTAAAACGCGTCTACGGGACACCTATATCAGAACAGAGCAGAACTGTTTTGTTCTTTTCTGTTAACAAAGATTATCATGTAAGGAATTTTAACTACAAAACGGACAATACAACCAATCATTGATAGAGTATGTAAAGTAACCAGGACGAGAGAACACGCGTACTCTTCCGCTATAAATACCGCGCGCGCAACAAATTAAAGTCGAGTTTTTCACGAACTTCATTAATCTCCCAAAAACTTATTTATTAAGACAATTGAATGCAAATTTCACTGTATGGTAGAGGACAATGTTGCATTAAAGAAAGACCAATTGACATCATAATATATCTAAGGGTGTGCTAGTATTATAACGTAAAATACATTCACTTTTCGGGGGAAAAAAGCTTAAAAAGGGTGACACTCATTAAAACTCTTTTTCCAAATTCATCAATATTTATTAGGAAATAAATACCGTGGGCAGCAAACTAAGGTTGTGGTTTTCACGAACTTCATTAATTGCCCAAGAACTTATTTATAAAGATATTTGGATGAAACTTCACTTTTTGGCAGGGGATAATGTTGCATTAAAGAAAAAAAATAAATATTATGATATATCTAGGGATGAGCTGGGGTTAAAGCCTATAAATTCATGAATTTGTTCTATAAAAATCTTAAATAATAAGGAATTATTAGGAAAAAATATATACAAGGTAAATAACTATAAAATCTTAGGTTGGGAAACCGAGGCAGGGAACATACATACATACGTACGTACGTACGTACGTACGTACATACATACACACATACATACATACATACATACATACATACATACATACATGATAGAAGTTCCGGGCGCGACAATTATAATTTTTTCCCGATATTCATTTATTTCGCGTGAAGTTATATAGTGATAAACTTTCAAGGAAACTCTACTGATAGGTGGGTAAAACATTGCATTTAAGGACAGTAAATCACATTATATCATATATCTTTATGTATGTTTGTATGGTAAAAGACGTTTAAATACATGCATATAATCGGAAAATGAAAATACAGATAAAAAGAAGTCGTAAAATTTCGTCTGCATAATATTATGAAATCAGGACGTGCGACTAACGTAAAATGTCAGTAAAATATCAAATTAAATAAGATTAAAAAGATTACAATCGATACATTGGTACGGCACTGTAGACTGGTTTGAGTTTTGGGAAAATGTTAATCTTAACGGCATTTTTTAGTACAAGCAGGTAGTTGGGGTTACTTCCCTATTTTGAGTATGCTGAATTCATTTTTTTTTGCTCTACCAAGGCTGTATTTTTAGTCCTTGACCTTTAAAAATTAATTTCAAAATGGCCGCCATTGAATTTTTTAATTTAACTTCATTTCTCCAATGGGCGAGATATATACACATTTTGTGGCATTTTAATTTAAGGCTTTGTTAATTTAAGTCTACTGAAGTGTGGACGAGAAGAATAGATGCAAAAACAATAAAATTTATTGCGGCAGCCATCTTGGATTTCAAAATGGCGGACAATTTCCTATGTTTTATACACTGTATTATAATTAAAGTAAACAAGCACAAGAAGGCATTTTACTAGGCATGTTTTCTTTTATTAAACGTGCAGTGATACTAATTAAGACTTCCAATCGAAGACTTTGAAAAAACATCCATTAAAACTAGAAACTTAATGGTGCAAAAAAGGTCACAATTTATACCCTAATACATCGTAAATGAGAGTCTTATTTGCGTTCACTTTTTCATTTAAATGTTTTTATACTTTTAAGAATACAATGCATGTTCTTTAAATTATTGCGATGTTTTATAAAACTATCGTCCTGAGGGGGGGGGGGACCTGCTCAAATATTTGTCCGTCTGTCTATCTGTCCGAGCGTCATCTTGTGTCAGTTAGGGATATTTGCGATCACAATTTGGCTTTTAGATTAATTCCGTATACCCCGACCTATAGGATGAATCATTGATTATGGGAGGCAAAAGACTGTTTTTGGAGTAAGAAACAAACATGAAGATAACAGATATCTTCACAAATCTCCCAGTAAGAGCTTGTCCGTGTCAGTCCGTATTTAATCCGGTCCATATCTGTCATTTTTGGATAGATTTTGAAATAAATTGCATTAATGTGTGGCACATTGATACAATGCCACAAGAATTACCCAGCTGTGAAGCTCAACTCCTTAAGTTAGACTTGAACGTGCTTGAATAAAGATGTGCAGTTTAGTATTCTGTCATCTAGAGATGAATTTTGAAATAGTTAAGCATAAATATACGGCCTATAACGGATTGGCAAGTGCTATATTTTATATTATTACTTAATTTCCAAAACAGGGATACCATTGTTTGTTTATTGCTTATGTCAATGTCACTTGCGCAAGAACATGTACTGGGACGTGTAATGCTTGAGAGCCAATTCAACAGTCCAAAGATCAGGGTCATGTCTATCAAGAAAGGCAATTTTGTAAAAGTTCATAAGTGGGGAACCGGTCAACAATTTTTCATGCACGACCTGATATTTATTTATAAGTCTTAGTATTTCCAAAAGTAATATAAGAATCGCCATCCAGCTAGCATTCGAAAAAATATTTTTTTTCATGAAATAGA